ATTCTACCCCTTTATCTTTAGAAGGTTTTTACTGGCTAACTGTTTTGGTGTAATTCTGAATCAGACCTTGAAAGTGCTCCTGTGTGTTTTTGCGGGGTTGAAAAACAATGATGTAACATTTTGGGAGAAAATACCACAACAGAAAAGAATAGAGACTGGAGAGTACGGCCAAAGCAGTGAATGTGTGGATGTGCTTTCCATGGTAGAGTATACTTGCAGTGGCAAGAATGATCCAAGTTAAGATCAGCAGGAGAAGACAGAAAGTGATCGCTTTGGCTTCATTGTAATTTTTTGGCAGGTCTTTTCCCATGTAAGAAAAAATGAAACAAAGACAGCACAATGATGCAAGCAGAAGCAAAGAGGCAGAGATACCTTGAAAGTTCATTTCACAGCCAAGAATGATTGATTGCGAGTAAGAAACTGTATCATTGTAAGGTCTTGAGGGGGAAACAGCATAGCCAGTTGTAAGCGTGATAGCTTGAGTGATAAATGCTACTGTGATGATCAACCACTGGCCATTATATTTTGTCCACCAACTGAGGAGAATGGGGAACTTAGCAGCTATTTTGAAAATGCAAACGATTTGGAAAGAGCGCACGACGAAACACGCCAGGCAAACAGTGTAGAACAACAGAAAAGGTAAAAACCTTAAGATACAGAAAGCAGTTGTGGGCTCACCAAAGAAAAAGAACACACTGATATCAGACAGGCTGAGGCAGGCTAGGATCAGGAAGCACATGGGTCCTCCTGCAGATTTGACTACAGGGGTTTTGTAGTTAAAGGCAAAGAGAATGGACACAGCCAGAGTCTGACCCACAAAGACCCAGGCCCCGAACATGATCACCACAGCTCCACTGTCTGTGAACGGGATGAACTCCACCAGCCGCAGGTTGCATGATGTACTTCCTTCTGCAGACCACTCTGTGTCCTTACAGCTGATGCACTCGTAGGCGTCTTCTGTAAAGTTCAAGTAAAAAGCATTTTTATAAAAGTGTAGTGCTACTTGTTCAGTCTGCCTTGATCTCACACATATTTTGTGAGACTTACAATTTGTGGCTGATCCAGATGTTATAAAAGGTTATACAGATGTGCCTAATCAGCAGTGACTGCTTTTATTCACATCTTTTGTCCTCATTTACCTGTAACGTTGATATAAGTTCCAATTGGACAAATGGTACAACTGAAGCAGCATTCATAGATTCCTTCTTGTTTTTTGGCATATCCTGCGGAGCATTCTTGGGAACAAAAAGATGTAGGGACCTATCCAAATAAAATGTCATGTAGAAAACTAACATTAATTCTCTGCAATGGTTGATTTTGGGATGGGATCATTTGCATTCTGTAAATACAACTGTGGAAACTATGTTGTCTTTGGTATCTGCCAAAGCAACAGGTTTCATACCTTAATATATATATTTTAAGTTAGTGTTCATACAAAAACAAGAAAAAATGTTGTGTGTTTCTGTGTCAGAAAAAAAAAGTTACCTCTCCGTTTGCGTACCACTGGATTTTAGAGCTGTTGATGTAAAACGGGAACGAGGAGTGAAAATTATAAACGCCGACCTCCTCTGCATCACCGCTATGGTTCCAAAAAACTATAGAATATGATCCAAAGTTGGGATCACCGTTACTATCAAACTGAACATTTTGATTTAAAAGAGGGAAGTTGGACTTCTTCAGTGCTGCTAGAACCTGTTGTTGACAAACAAAGAACAGATACTTTTAAGTTACAATATATGCTTTCTATTAACTTTAGTGCTGTAGGTTTATTAAAGTGTATAGTTTAAGACATCAATGTAGACAAGTTCAAAATGCTAAAAAAGTTTTTTTCTTTGCCTTTATTGAACATAATGTCTTCATGGATAACAGAGCAGCAGGACTAAAAAAAACACCTGTTTCATCTGATTTAAAATCCTTTTGTTTTTGCTGAACCAGAAGGAAAGAACTAAGTTTAGCACAAAAAGTAAGGCAAGTTGTGTTTGGTGGATTATTCCTTTGTTCTAACAATGCTTCTTGGTAATAAATCTTATACCATTGGAAATTTTGTTAATTTCCATTTTAAATGGTGCCAAATTTGTAAGGAGCATGCATTTGTGGGATGAGCAGTAGAGCTGAGTATGTGGGTTGTGCACATGAAAATTTTGTTAAATCTTCTCTGCCAAACAGCTTATTTTGCCGTTATTGACACTTGTTTTGAGCTTCTGGTACTCTCAAGTGCTGCAGGTGCCCTGTATAAGATTGATAGGTAAGTAGCGTTGTTACAAGAAAGAAATGATCTACCAAACACAAATGAAACATATGGCAGCCAAAACAACTCAGACTGACTTACAGCTATAATAAACATCCTTGCCCCTCACCTGACTTAGTAACACAAAAAGCTAAAAATAAATCAGTCATTTGTCACTTTTTGGGCAAGATGATTTTTTTAGAGCTTTAAAACTATACCTRTCAGAAACATAACCCACAATAAATCATCTGGTCAGAAGTAATGATTTATGGAATATTCCATAGACTTACCGTGTATTTGTCCACTGTGATATTTCTATCACACCTGCCGTCTTTACACTGCAGGGCCACGTGCAAAGCATGTGCAATGGCATAAACAGCAGAGTAAACAGGAAAATTGAAAGACGGATCTGCATTATTGATATCGTCAGCAGTCACACTGCTGCAGTTGCAATTCTGACCACAAAACTTYCCTTGATTCACGTTTTCCTGCTGAGATTTAGCTTTGGAATGATCGACAAACTCACTAAAACCTGGTATCGCCAAAACCGGCTCTGCAACACCRAGAACCGTTCCAATATTTCTGATTCCTTCTGCTTTGGGGAGCTCTTTGTTTAAGGACCATGCATCCCCGGCTATCCACACTTTGTTGGTGATATTTTCTGTTATCGCTGCCTCAATGAGATCTTCAGCCGTCCATTCAGGAGCAAAAACAATGATGACATTTACCCTCTGCTCGTCCAGCTGTTGGAGTGTTTGAGGGTAATTTGTGTTTTCATCCAGGCCTTTGCTGTAAGCCAGGCAGATATTAGTATATTTGATCTTGTTCACAAACAATTCCAGGCCATCATTTCCATAATTATCGTCGCTGTATAAAAAAGAAACCCAACGCCACCCAAAGTTTGTCAAAATGGTATAAACCACCTCGATGACATCTTTATTGGGGTGTACTGTTCGTAAAAAGGTTGGGAAATTCTGTTTTTTTGAGAAGACCGAACTAGCAGCTCCGTAACTGACCTATTCAAAAGAAACAGTGAGAAGACRTACTTGGTTGTCCTATTACTGTGTTTTATGACTTATTTTAACCAGTTTATAAACAGCAGCATATATACAGTTTTTACCATAGGAAGGAAATTCATCATGAAGAGCGGGGCTACGGTCAGCGTCTCGGTGCTCGTGTAGGCGCCGACCACTGCGATCACGTTCGAGACGTTGTTGCCCGATTTGCTCCAAGGTTGGATGAAGTCATTGACGGAGATGAGGTTGAAAATACCAGGAAAATTCTGTGTATCTGAACAGTGGTCAAAGAGTTTATAGCCAAGTGTTACATTTGGCAGCAGGCTGGTGGAGTTATTGATTTCCTCTACAGAGAATCTCATCATCTGGAATCTTCGATAGCTTGACAGAATAAATGGTTGACTGTGGACAGCAGAAGGATCATAAAAAGTTTAGGCTTTAATTTTGATTGCAAACAGCAAAAACAGTCACATTTGGGACCCTTGTCAGATTTGTTATAGGCTAACGTATATGGTTGATTTAAAGGGAATTATTTTTGTTGTTACAATGATTTAAGAAAACAAGCATATGCATTACGTGTGCATTTTAGTTTAGTTCATTTTATTATGAAAAGACATAATCCAAGATTAGAAAACCCACCTTGAGCAGGTAATGGTTTCTGGTCTGTGATGGTAATCTGTTCCACTGACTTGATGAATATCAAAAAGTCCACCAATCAGGTAATCTCCATCCACCTCAAACTCCGAGGACGTGACAGCTTCACTCATCAGGAAATGCAGAAAACATCCCAGTAAATACAGGTAAGCCATACATTGTTTATCCTTCATAGTTACTGTATGTCTTTACGTGAACTCAGATTGAAGTGAACTCTGTGTTTTCTAAGAAACACTGGTGGTGGTTGAGTAGTAATGATCCTTTTCAAAACCAGGAGATGGATGAAGTGTCATAAATGCATTGGTAATGGCCAGAGGGGAATTCACAAATCAGTATGCAAAGATCATCTAATCTGCTGCYGCCATGTCCTAGACAACAAACATGTTTCACCAAGTTTGTTACAATTGTAAATCCATACTCCTGAGATTTGATCCATGATGTCAAGTCTGAAAATCAAATAATAAATCTGAAAAAGTAAATAATAGAAGAAACACACATAGAAATGCTCAYTTACTGTAGTGCTTCTCTCTCTCTGTAAATCATACTTTTGTAACTGAAGTAACATTTTTTTCCCCAGAGGAAAATATTGCATGGGTTTGCATGTTCTCCCCGTGTATTGGTGGTCCAGCAGTCCAAAAC